ATACTGTGTTGGTCATTCTCCCTTCCCTTCCCTGTGGTCCCTGTAGTTCTGGCGGTCCTGTCCATGTGGTTCTGCTCCTCCCCCGTCGACCCTGTGGTTGTTCTGGTCCTGTTGTGCTCGTGGTTCTCCTGTGAGAGGCAACCTGTGCGTTACTGTCCTCTCTACAGTACAGACAGCAGGGCGGTCAGGTGTCTCTTTTCTACACCCAGGCACAGAGGTGCTCGTAGTCCCTACACTGGAACCTTGAGCATGGGACATCATGCATTGATGGTTGGACATGTGACTGCACTGGCAGGAAACTCTAATCTTCACCCTGTGTTACCTATGCTGTGCTGGTGATTCTCCCCCTCCTCCCCTGTGGTCCTGTGGTTCTGCTGGTCCTGTCATGTCCATGTTGCTCTGATGGTGATTTCTAATGCTGTTACCTTAGTTCTTCCAAGGATTTTGGACACAAGTTTATTTGGAGTAGAGCTATAGCCCCAGGTATAAACCATAAACAGCACGAAGGTCTAACAGTAATCGCGACCCAGGGAAGGCCCTTCCCTGTGACTGTTGGCGCTTCTCAGATGCCAAGACCACACGGAGGTCCAAAAGTGATGACAGTCAAGGATCGTTTCATTAGGGGGCCCCATCCATGTAACTGTCGGGACTGTTGAGACGCGACGAAGCATGAGGAGCCAAAAGTGACGACAGTTACAAGGATGGCAGCTTTGAGACGTCAAAAATGACAGTTACGAGGATCGCGACCTGGAGGGGCCCCATCCCTGTGACTGTTGGCACTTTTGAAAGGTCTGGGCTGGGGAGGGGGGGACCATATTATGCGGGGGGGGGGATAGGATCCCCAGGACCGGGATCATGTATTCCCTGGTTCCCTACTCACCACCCATGAGTAGTCCGCAGAACCAGTGCTAGGCTGCCTCCAACGCTGTGGCTTCCACTTGTGATCGGCGTGGAGACGAATGAGCCATATTGAAGTCTGACAAGACTAGGGCTTCTGGCGCCAAAACTACTTCACTTTGAACTGATTGTGCCTCTGTTTCCGCTGCTCTTACGGAGCATGCTCACGGTTGGCCTGGAAATCGTGCTGCCCCTGCTGTCCCTGCGCGCGCAAACCATTGACATTCTTACAAACATCATAGCTGCTGGGCCCCCATGTCTCAATCCTCCTAGCGGTAATAGCTCTTGGGCCCTCGAAAAAGCTGACGAGCCAGCCATTCCATAAAATAGGGATCCTCAGACCCGCACTTTTGAAACCTTCCAGTGTATGGGGGTTTCCCGGACTTCGGGGCAACATTTTGGGGGGTCCCCATAATAAGGATGAGAGTATGTGAGGTGTATATTGGGGTACCCCTATTTTGGGAAACTACCATATGTTTGTGATGGATGTGTTGCATGGCTATGCCTTTAAACACCGCAATGTTGGTCATGTCTTGCGAAGCCGGCGGAGACCCTGAATGCGCTGGAGAAAATTGCTTGGCACATTGGACTGTGATACTCAGGTGAGGGCCAAACCTATGCTAAGCCGTTAGATCCCTAAACCCTAAAACCTAAACAATCCTTGAGATCCTAGAACTCCATCACTGCAAGAAATGGTCACTTTCAGCCACATAATGGCCCCAGGATTCACGAACCGGCGGAAGGCTGGCTGGGATCGAAGGCGGGCCTCATCCACCCCGAGTCCCAAGAATACGTTAAGTTAAACACGAACAATGGTATTCAAAATCATAACCGTATTCATGATAGTGTTAATAATGGCAATAACAATCCTTAATAGCAATAATGCTACTAGTACTAAAGACACCTTTAAACCTTGCGGAGATGGTTGGGCCTTGAATGAGTCGGATCCTGTTGGATTCTGGGCATGGTTTGGCACATGCACGTTGAGAAATGGGAGATGCAGAAGATGCAGATGTGTTCGACATTGCCTTGACGTTAAAGGTGTTGAAGAAGCTTACTGTTACGTTTCAATTACATGGATTAGCCTTCAGGCCTGTGGTTGCAGGTAGTAGATTTGGCTCTGGGCCAATGCGGGGGAAGGCATGCAGGGTCTAGACTCTAGAAATAGCTGCAGCCAAAAAGGCGACCTCACGAGGGTTTGAAGAGTCTGATCCAAGTGGACCCTGATATTGCAGCTTCCTCTTTTCCTTGCATCTTTGAAGGTCACGGGAACTACGGGTTGTGACCTCTGCTAGACGACGTCTTCCGTCTTCCATCCTGATAGTATTTGAAAGCTTAAAGATTGTGGGCAGCACTCCGCACGGTGCAGGAACGCAGGAACGGCCCGGTCAAAAAGTGACAGTCCACTTTGGTACCAAGAGCCGTCTTGCACCATGTGTGACGCCACTTGATTTGAGGCAGGGGCAACGAATTCCACAAACTTCTTGCCTCTCCATGGAATGCTGATGACATTACGACCTATACATACTTGTACCGATGTCCTATATCAACCGTCCACCCTGAGAAGAGGCAAAAGTCCTTGAAACCCCAACCTGAAACTCCCGAAGGGAGCTTGGACTCCGCCTCTGTACAAGAGGGTCCCCCTGGTTTGGAAGAGCAAACGGAAGTATCTCAAGACAGAGTGCCATATCGCTGCTTTCTCCGGCAGCTGCCTGCTGCGGCGCACCTTACTTGAGGTCCTTCACGGGCATGTAGACCTGTTCAGGCTCCCAATGAGTTCTTCGTAGAATAGGATTCGGGTTTAGGTTGTCAGGTTTAGGGCATGGTCAGGGCATAGGGTGCTCGCTGGTGCGAGGGCACACCCAGGCCCCTCGCGACGTAGCAGTCAATCAACCCGACCCGTGACCTTTGAGTTCAAGCTGCCAAGGGCTTTGCTCCTAAACTCTTATGAGCACTTCGGTGGGGACCAAGGCAGCACCGACGGGGATCGCAACTCCTTCGGGTACCGGTCATGACGTGATGTGCTTGGAGGTTCTGGATTTCTGAGAGGCTGTTTTGTCGAATTGGCTGGCATTCAAGGCCAAAGCCGCGACCGTCAGCGGTCGCGATGCGAGTTGAGTTACCTCCGAAGCTGCGTGGTGCAGCCACGCTCTCAATGGTCATGGGTCAATGTTGGCTCTCTGTGAGGATGTTGTGCCGGGTTTCTATGAGGCTGCTTTGCGAGACAGGTTGCCAGCCAAGGCCACGCAAGGACCATCAGCGGTCGAAACCGTTTCAGAAAACGCCACCCTGCAAAAGCACGTAAGCGTGACTGTTGTCGATCACTCAGCCAAGACTTTGGGATTTAGGGACTTCCGGGTTTGGGGCGGCCTCAGAAGCCTAAACCCTAAACCCCAAAATGGGAACGAAGTTCGATCTGGCTAGCTAGGAAACCAGTCAGTTGTTGATTGTATTTGGATGTATTTGGCAGTTCCCCTAAATAGGGGGACCCCAATATCTACCAAAGAGTATTGCAGCCTCATTGTGGGCACCCCATAATTTGTACCCCCAACTTTGGAGACCCTTATTTGGGGCTTTGCAATGTATTCCCCGGGAGCTAATTTAGAAAACTAGAGCCCTCAGCGTTTAGGGTTTAGGTTCGGGGAGTTGCTGGTTGATTTTTTGGGCTCTACAGGCATTTGTCGGCCAGTCGCGGTACAGGACTCCATGGGGAAAACAGTGCATGTTGACCCTCGCACGCTTGAAGGCTCCTTGCTTCCTAGAACAGTCCGCGTCTGGACGCAAAATGTGCTTGATGCGGTGCGACAGTTACAAACGCTCTGCGGCTGCATTTTTTCCCTGACAGACGGTTTCAGGTCTACAGTCTGCGTCCTCTGGGCCGACATGAGCCACAGCGAGGCATTCGACCTAAGCCTCTTTGGAGGGAACCGGAACGTCTTGTTAATGACATGGTGGCTGTGCTGAACAGCGGCATGGCTGACACGAGTCTCGATATATGCAGAGCATATGTCGGACCAGTTTATGCGCCAACTGCCCAGCTTGTAAAGCAGTCGATCATGTTGCCTCCACGACATCGTGAACAGCTGGCACGTTGGTGTAAAGGACGTTGACCATCGGACATCTCGAGCTGCCGTGCTGCGCTTGCTGGCTGGCGGCTCTTTTCGGGGTCTTAGGATTTGGGTTTTAGGATTGAAGCTTCAGGCTCCTAAAAGCTGAGAATAACATTCAAGGTCTCAAAGCTCAAAGACGGACACCGCGAACAACATGTGTTGAACGAACGTGTTAGGGCTTTATGCAAATGGCCACTCGAAAGCCTGTTTTTAAAACTCTTCGATGAAAGTTGGCAGCAGAGACCAACAGGCAAGGATTTAGAGTTTTTTACGTAAGCTACGAGGAATACATGTTCAACGTGAGACTCCGAACCATCGGCTTGAAGCCCCTAATCCTAAGTACTAAGGCCTACAACCTAAACCCTAAATCCTAAGCCGAAGCCCCAAAATGCCTCACTTCCGACTTCCGCGAACTTCCGACTCATCTCTGCCATGCCCTCCTTCAGGGCTGCCACCGCGGGTTGGGAGTTTCGGGTGTTTCCGGGTTTTGGGTCAAGGCTCGCAGAGGATCTGAGTACCTATGTATGGTCCCCGTCAAGGATCCGAATTTCAGTGCGTACTAGATTGCTCTTTTGCACTCTGCCATTACCGGCTCTATCCGCTATCCGCCGCGCCAACTCGTAACGGCACCAAAGACATGCTTCTACCACCATCCTTGCACGGCGTGAGGTCTGCAAAAAGGCAGCTGATGCATTACAATCTCAATAAACATAAACCCAGTTCCCATTTCATTTCCATTGTCTTTCCCATTTGATTCTCCATTCAAGAGCACGCCATCAAGTCAGGGAACCTGGGAGTCACTAACTAGAGCCTAAGTTGCTTTGGAGCCTACCGCTACAGGGATTCGTTGCAATGTAGAACTGCAAGTTCTATCGCTGAATTCTAGTACCTTTGGCTTTCATGGCTGAGGTTTCGGGGTTTCGGCTTCCGTTCCAGGCTGCTAATTATGGGGAATCTGGATGAGTCTGTACCAAAACATACCAGATACCCGTCCTTCAGCACCGCTTCGCTGTCAGCGTCACCATAGCCACGCTCCGCAGCGTACTGGCGAACATCATCCGTGATTTTCATGGAGCAGAACCTGGGTCCCAAGACTCGAAGGATCGCTCGTCAAGAGGACTTTGGTTCACGCGCATCGCCCGTGAGAGTCACTCCATAGGTGCAGGCTACGCAAGGTGTGACTTAAGATATGTCTGTAGCTAAAAATGGAGCTGTTTTGCCCATGCTGGGCTTTGAGGGTCAGCGATGGTCAGCGCGTTGAGCAGCTTAACACCCGGGGTCCGGACATTGTGGAAGTTCCGCTGCAACCCTCAACTGGCCAGGGGCCACTGAAATCCGTGAAAAAAAAAGTGTCCCTGGTCACTGCGGGAAGCTTGTCCATTCAGTTTGTGGCGTATGTAAGGCCCGCACCACTACCATCCCTCCAAGACATGACCCTGCGAGAGTCTCACAGTGAATATCCAAGTCAAGGCTCCACAGTCCTTTGAGGCCCTGCGCCCGCATGCCAAAGTTCTTACCCTTGCCTTCACCAGCTATGATATCCTGTTTCGTCACCGATGAAATAAACCACGACCAACAACATGCCCAAACACCGAAAGCCCTCAGCGCTAGGACCAAATGTGTAGGGTTTAAAGTTTAGGGCTGGAAACATGCCGTTCGCACTCAGACAAGACCGTGAACAAGGCATGGTAATTAAGATAGGGAACAAAGAACGAGTGCCAAAGCATCACAAACTATGCCCGCAGAAGCAGCATCCCCTGCGACATAAATTTCAACCCTAAACCCTTCACCCTTAACCCTTAACCCTAACCCTAAACCCTAAACCCTAAACCCTAACCGAAACGCAAGAACGTAGGGAGGGCAGGGCCTGTCATCCCTGAGCCCTCTAAGAAAGCTCTGAGAACGAGGCTTTGGGCCGCACATGGAACCTCAGCTGGGGTAATATTAGGGTTATATTAGGGTTTAGGGTTTAGGGTGTAGGGCTATATTGAGGCTGTATTGGGGTCTTATCGGGGTTATATTGGGAAAGTGGACAATTAAATGGAAACAACTCTTCAGGGCCAAATACTCCTTATAAACACTTTCCGAGATGAGAAGCTCAAGACAATGCCCGTTTTGTGGAGGAAAAGTTCCGGAATCCCCACAACTGGGTTGTCAGGTTGAGAGCCGCTCCCTCTTGGGATTTTGATTGCTGTTTTATCGCTGAATAACCCTTGCAGGGCGAGATTCGCAAACAGCTTCAGGGCAAGGATACACAACTGCCCTGGTTCTTGTTACTTTCTTCGTTGTACTCTTAGTGTTAGCTTGTCGCTGCCGTTGCAACAAATGTCGCGTTCTCAGCGGCGACATTGGTTTCAGTGGTGCCGACACCGCCGCTGCCGCTGCTGCAGCCGCTGCTGTTCATGCTCCTGCTGATAATGCTTCTGATGCTGCTGCTGCCGCTGCTGACACTGACACGGACACTGACGCTGATGGTGCCGGGGCTGGCACTGCTGACGCTGACGCTACTGCTTAGCCGCGGCCGCTTCTGCTGCTGACGCTGCTGAAACTGAACCAGATTCAAATGCTGATTCTGATGCTGCTGTTGCTATTACTGGCAATGGTAATGGAATGGCCATGGCAGTCGGAAAGGGCAACCGTGACCGTAATGGTGATGTGAAACGCAACGGTAATGGTACATGATGGCAAAGGTGGTGATGACCCTGGCCGCGGTAAATACACGAAGAAGCAGAGCGACTGTCATCGGCAACCATGTGAAAACTGTGATATGCACTGGTTCAGAAAAGCCTTCTTGCTGACTTTCAAGCTGAATACAACAACCCAAACAGCTCCAAGTGCTCCTGCCAAAGGCTTTTACTCCCGTCAACACTAGACCCCAGAGCCTACATCCTAACCCACAAGCCGAGCCCAGGAACAGAAGTGGGCAGATTTTCCTTGCTCCGAGTCGATAGTCTCCTCAGGCAGGAACACCACATGGCGAAGGGTTCGGAGACTCTAGGTGGGTTTAAAGGTGAGAGTTTGGGCTCCAGTGTGCTAGCTGTGCAGGGCTTAGATTTCAGTGCTCCTGATTTAAAGTTTGGGGTACACGTTTGGAAGTTCATACAGCAACGAACAGGAATGACTTACTTTACCAGCAGCAACTCTTACGGAAAGACGAACACTGGCTCACAAATCACGCGTTGACTTTGAATGGTGGGCGAGAATGCAAAGATTGACAGAGGCTATACAAGGCCACCCCATCATGACAGCACTTTAAGCTTGGGCAACAATACACACTTACTCAAAATAAAACCTGCCACAACCCTAAGCCAGTCTAAGCCCTAAAACTTAAACCCTAAACCCTAAACAATAGCTCAGCTAACAGCCAGTTTTTAAGAAACGGAAAGACTTCCTCCAAAGGAAACCCATCCCCAGTGCTGTCAGCCCTGAATGATACGATCTTAATTAGACTCCTTGACCTCCACAAAAGTCCTGAACCCTAAATCCTAAACCCCAAACCATACATCCTAAACCCTATAGTCCAGGCGTTATTATCAAAAGGGATACTAGGAGTTTAGACCCCAAACCCTGAATCCTAAACCCCATATTCTAGGGGTTATTATTAAGGGGGATACTTGGAGTTTAGACCCTGAACCCTACATGCTACCCCCCTCCTCCTATATAACCACATCTAACACTTTCCTATCTAACGTTTAGAACCCTATAGAACCCTTTATTAATCCCTTATAAAGCCCCTAACTACCATAAAAAGTCTAGTCTCGTCGTGCATGCTCCGAGCGGTGATCGGATCCTTAGGAACTCTCGGATTCAGGTTGCAAGCTTCCTGGAGAGACTGAAACAAGGAAACCCCAAACCCTAGATTTGGGGTTATCTATAAGGTTTAGGCTTGAGGGATTAGGGCACAGTCTATGCCCAGGCTCCGCGATCAGAGTTTCAAATTCGAGTGCAGGGGCTGACGTTGATGATGAGGTTTGCAAGTAGTTTGGTACGATTTATGGTTAGGTTTTAAGGTTTAGGGCGTTAGGAGTTTACTACAGTTTTACAAGAGATGGTTAGCTGTGCAGCTTGCGCCAACAGTCCAGTTTGCTGAGTTGGTAGATACATGCACCAGGGACCACCTAGCCAATCTCTGAAGCAAAGAGGCGAAGGCCCACACCGGTTCAGATATAATAATTGATGTTACATGTTGGATCTAAATATTCAAGCCCATCACACGGATACAAACAGTTACTGCTTCTAGACAATGGGTTTGCCGCCTTTTGAACATCAATGCCTGAACAATGATAACTGACACTCACCACGATGCATCTTCCCCACGACTCAGCAGCAACCATTGGCAATGCTGTACGGTGCCTTGCTTCTGACGCTTCCTATCAGGCACCATTCCAATACATCCATAGGATATTGTGACACTGCTGGAGCGCATGTAGTTCTGGAGTCCTTCTGTTTGCAAATGCCGCTGCTCCCATTCCCTGTCTCACTTTCGTTGGTTCTGTGCGCGAATGCAATCCTGCCGCACATGCGTGATCTACACACAACCCTCAAATACTGCTTGCAAATCCACGGGTAGGTAGAAGTGGACAAAAGTCCGACACTTGCCTTGTAACCACAGTTGTCATGAACTATGATCTTTGTCCCACGACAAAGGACCCTTGGAATACCAGGTGCAGGCAAAGTCTTTAGAGGGTTTTCAAAATTAGGAAACTCCTCGAAAGAAATACAATGCAGTCTTTGGGTGGTATTTGGCGGACCCCGACTTGTCAAACTCTCTTACGGGCTGCAAGAACCTTAGACAAGACTTTCTTTTGGGCAATCCTGGCGTAGGTTTTGTCATCCTGGGTGTGCCTCGGTCTGTTTTTTCCTATGTTTTGACATGCCACAAACATGTAATGGTCTGAAGGCAACAGAAAAAATAGGATGGCGACCCCTATCCCTGTGACTCTTAGGGCTTAGGGCTTAGGGGATATGACTACAGCATTCTGAAACTCTACATATCTAACCGCAAGCACAGGCTGGTTTGCACAAAGTCCCCTTGCAAACCCTGGACAAATATGAAACCAACTGAAGATGCACACGTTGCTGGACAGTGATGCAGCTGATATCTTAATATGTATTTGCCTGACTTTCATAAAACGGCTGGGCGCCTCCATTTGCAACACATCACCAGCATTAATGGGTATGAAACCTTTGCAAGGTTCGCATCTTTACTTGCATCGCGAGGGGGATGATGCCGTCGCACCCTCCATTTGCAAAACGTTGACCCAGATGAACGAAAAATGACCTAAACGAACCCATCCGAAGAATCAAATGTTGCTTGCAGGGCTTTGTTGCATAGTGAGGTGTTTGGCCGTTTACTTGCATGTGCTTTAAAGTGCCGAAAGGTTGCGGAAGCACAGCCCCCACACCGACGGGCGATGTGTTTTCTTGTTTGACCCCGCAAATTTCCCACTCATTGACAAAGATGAAATCCACGAAATCTGACAGAAAGGGGTTTGGGATGAGAGCATGAGGCAACGGAGCCCGGTGACCACAGAACCAGGGGATCAGGGAACCAAACCAAGCACACCCAGGCAAAAAAGAAGCCACAGCAACTGCAACCTGTACACCCTAAATCCTGAACCCCCATGGGTGTGGGGTTTAGCGTTTAGGGATACAACTACACGCCAAAGTCTACACCCTTTAGAGCTTACACCAGTCGTATGCCAGCTGTCCAGGGCGAGATTGAACTGGTCATTCCAGCGAAACCTGAGTCAACATATCACTTGCACCTCCAGAATAGCGGTACAAACTGTGAAAACAAGAAATAAGTACATGTAATATTCTTCATCGTTGTACTCTGTTGATGATAATAATAATACCAGCATCAGCAGGAGCAAGTAAATAAGCTGGCAGGTAGTAATCCATATAGCATAGCGGCAAGTAGTAGGTTGTGATGGGGGGGGGGGTGGCCGTGGAAGTTGTAGCGTGTAGCGGAGCGGCGGTGGCCATGGCGGTGGCACTTGTAGCAGCACTGGTCGCGCGCAAATCAACATCCACAGTGCGCTTCTACCAAGGCAAAACGCGGTTCCACTTTCTTCAACCAGAAACAATGAAACGAACCGGAGAGAGGATTTGGCAGGAATTTTTGGAACACGAGCTGCTATGGGGTTTGCAACTCCACGAAGGTTGCACTCTCGAACAATGACGCTGCCGATACCATCGTTCAAAGGGGCCCAAGGCTGGGAGACCGTCCTTCTGCACTGACGTGCATGTGTCAGCAACTTTCGTGTGGCCTATACCCTGACATTTGGAAGTTGCCGAGTAGGGTTTCACTTCTGTATGAGTACTGAGGTCCAACCTCGTACAAACATGATCAGATCAAGTAATACCTTAGACATGAAGCGCAAGGTAGCGGACCTGAGAGCGAGTGAGACATGAGCGAGTCTTGTGGGAGGGCGGCCGGAAGTTCAGAAGGCCCTCTTTAATGTGCTATAGACTCTAGGGTCCTGGCAAAACCCCAACCACTTCAATCCCTAGAGCCCTTATGTAGAACCCCGGGAGGCTTCAAGACCTGGTGGGGTGCTGAAAAAAGAAAAGAAAGTCCAACATTACTCTCCCCTATCAATGATGAAGGCAAGAGTAAAAACGGATGGCTGTAGACAGTAGCGAGTAGGACAAACAAAATGAGAACAGCAACAATAACAACAATACTAATAACAATAATAATGACAAGTTTTCAAGGTTTCGTGTGTTTTGGGGTTTAAGGTTTTTAGGGTTTAAGTTGTTTTCGGGCTTAGGGCGTTTTGGGGTTTAGAGAATTTTAGGGCTTAGTGGCTTTGAGGGCTTAATGATTTTTAGGGTTTAGGACGTTTTAAGGTTTATGGTGTTTTAGGGCTTACGGTTTTTAGGGTTTAGGGCGTTTTGGAGTTTAGGTTTTTTTGGGCTTAAGGCTTCTTAGGGCTTAGGGTGTTCTAGGGTTTAGGGTGTTTTAAGACTTAGGCATTTTTGAGGGCTTAGTCTTTTTAGGGTTTATGGTTATTTAGGGCTTAGGGCTGTTTAGGGCGTAGGCTTCAAGGTTTTTTGATGTTTAGGGTGTTTTAGGGTTTAGGGTTTGTTAGGGTTCAGGGTTTTTAGGGTTTGGGGCGGCTTAGGGTTTAGGGTTTGTTAGGATTCAGTGTTTTCAGCGTTCAAGGTGTTTGAGGGTTTAGGGCATTTTTGGGTTTAGGTTTTTTAGGGTTTAGGGCTTTTTAGGGTTTAGGACGTTCAAAGGTTTAGGGTGTTTAATCTTCAGGCTTTTTGTGGTTTACGTCGCTTTAGGGTTTATGGCTTTTTGAGGTTGTGTTTTAGAGTTTGGTGTTTACTTTGTTTTTTCGGGCTTAAGATTTGTTAGGGCTCAGTGATTTTTAGGGCTTGGAGCTTTTGCATGCTTAGGGCTTTTTAGGGTTCAGAGTTTTGGTGCTTAGTGCTGCTTTATGGTTTAAAGGTCTAATATACATGTTTATTCCCCACCCTCACAGTG